AAACGCGAAACTGATGACAGCTAATGGAATGGCATCAAATGCTACCCGGGGCATCAGTTCAACGCTTGGTACCTTTGGAGGAATGAAACCAGTTGGAATGGCACCTGAGATACTGGAGCTAAACTGCCCGTTTAAATCAGCAAAATGGGAAACTATCGTGGCAACTGCCACTACCACCAGTTCTGTGGGCAGTGGTATCTTCAAACGGTCTTTGTAGCGATCCTGGATCTCTTTTCCTGCAACCAGCACTATGATGCAAATGGCACTTGTTATTAAGTCACAGAAGTTGGTTTGGTGGATGTTCTTGAAGATGTTGATCCAGGTGACCACTACTGTCCCATAGCCTTGGTGTCGAGGGATCTTAAGGCCTAGCAGGTACTTTGCCTGAACAGTGAGGATAGTGCAAGATGCCCCAGTAGCAAAGCCATCGAGCATAGGAGCAGAGAGATAAACAGAGACAAACCCCAGCCTCAGGACAGCCATCAACACCTGAGGAGAAAATACAATACACCTTCAGGTCAATGACATGACAATAGATTTTTTTTCTAATGTATTCATTTAGAAGTTAAAAAAGGTACAGTTTGTATACTGTACAATGACTTGAATACGCCTCTTTTATAATGAGCTTTTTAAACTTCTGTATGTGGATATTTTTGGGGGGCATGAAGTAAAAATGTAAATATAATTCATATTATTCATCTGAAAGATGTCATTATTAAGATTATTAATATTATATATTTGTAAAGAAATACATTTTCTCTCTTAAAGTATCAGAGTGCTCCCACTTTTTGACGCCATTTTCCTTATTTTTTTTTTTAAATAATTATTAAGATATGTCTACTCGCATGTATTTAAATGGAAACATTTTACTACTTTACAACACATTTTTGGAATCATAAAGTACATTTAGCAAATTTCTTAGACGTTGCCAGAATATGTACGTACCTGGTAGACTCCAGCAAGGAATGTTAAAGCTGTGGCAATGCTAATGGCGTAGCATTCTTTTCCACATTCCATATTCAGTGCCATGATCTTCAAGTTGACAACAGTGCTGTTGGTTTCCCCAGTGCCATTTAACCCAAGTGCATTTTTTGTATTGTCTTCATTCAAATCAAAGCCTGCAAGGTAAACCTCTCGGTCCACAACTTGTCCAATCATCAGACTCATGAGGCTGAAGATGCCCACAGAAACATGTCTTGACGTCCCCATGAAGAAGTATATGATGTTTGCAAAAAACGATGTGTACAAGCCATAGATAGGGTCCAAGCCGGCCAGTAGGCAGTATGCAATGGCTTGAGGAATCAGTATTATGCCAACTATGAGCCCAGACATCAGATCACCCCATATATATTCCTTTACCTTGTACTTTGGAAGCCATTTAACTACGGGGAAGAAGCCTGTTAGAGTCCTCTTCACTTTAGGTCCCGAGCAGGAGAGGTTTCGCTTCAACTTGGTCTTGATAATCTCATGAATCCTTCTCCTCTGTCGTACTCGGCGCTTTAGTGGGCCCACAGTCACAGAGTTTAGGTCCTCCATGGCTTCCAATGATGAGAGACCCATGCACTGATGAGGCTTTTAACACAGCTCCTGAAAAAGGAACAAAGACCTTTGATCAGTGATCTCCCTTAAAGATCAAACTGGATGTCTGTTAAATAGGGGTAACTGATTAATCGCTATGCTTAGAACAAGTCTGAATGGAATTCAGTTTCCTCCATTTTCTTCTTTTTTGGCTGTTTCAAGTCAATAATTAGTCATACAAGTTAACACAATTATCAGTATGCTGTTTTACTGACAGCATTATAAATGATTCTCACATGCTTCTCTTTTTACAGCCTCTAGCTGCTTGATCTACAGACTAGAGCGAAACTAAGAAACAAAAGCTTGATCTTACATCTTATCTACATCTCAGCCAGAACTTTTATTACGATTTTGTATGTATTATGTTATACAAATCTTTTATGGTGTCAATGATGGTAAAATCCATTGCCCTTAATAATCATTGTTAAAAGTGACAACCCCCACTCCACAAATGACAAGGTCAGATGTATGTGGCACATTGATTTAAGCAAAGGGTTGGGGCTATTCAAAGCAATTGAGTAAAAATGTCCAATTACTAATTACTTCAAAGAAAAAACATTTCTTTTTGATTCCTTGTCCCATTAAATCCTCTTCATGTCAATGTGGGAAGCATCTAAGTTTGGATGTGCCTGTCCCTCTTGACAATGAATGAAGTCTGGAATCAAAGTGAACTATGCATGTATGGCATTTATTGTCATAATTGCCTTTTTATTGGAGGGTCATAAAATCGCCACTTAGATAAGACCATTTTCCATGATGACGTCTCAAAGTTTATTAGCCCTGAAAGGGCGAAGGCCCTTTTTCCTAAGCATTATTTATTATTATTTTAATTTTTTTTGTCAATCTTTCGGGCACTTTTGGGGTTCTTAACGTGGTTCTTAACAATTCCAAATTGTGAACGGATTTTTGAAATCTCGAACGGTGTGGCCGTGGAGAGGAAACAAATTTGTAGTGAATAAGGGACACATGAAGTGTGTTCTTATAACTTTAACGTACATTGACTGATCTTGATGAAACTTCAGCAGTGTGTTCGATGTAAGAGGCCGATGTTATGGATGTCTATTGTGAGTCAACGTTAGTTATAGCGCCACCAACTGGCAGCAAGAAGTGTGTCGCTTTCAAAATGTTTCGAAATCACCCTCTTCTTTTTACCCAATTTGCTCCAAACTTCACTACTATAATGTTAACACACAGCAGATGCAGACCTGTAAATGGATTTTGTAATGCTTTTGAGACTAGCATACTTGAAATTGCACGAAACTCGACAGACACATCTCATTTATTTGCTAGTAGACGTGCAAAGTTTCAGAAACAGGCGTGGTGGGGGCTCAGTAGCGCCACCTTTTGTCAAAAAGGATTAATTCTATCTACAGAAACAAAACATGGTATTCATATTGTTCTCCTCGAGCCGGACAACTTTCTAATTCACAGTCATTAGCTCAGACCAACAGGAAGTCAGATATTTTGGTTTGAATATGGTAATTTTCTCTCTCTGTGTCTGCCTGTCTCTGTGTGTGTGTTGGGAGGCGGGGGGTTAGATTAACCATTTCACTGCTGTGTGGTTTGGCCTGCATTAAAAAATCATACTTACAGCTATACTACTCTCTTGTGTCCAAGGTATGGCTATTTTTATCAGGTATGGCTATTGTATTTATATATAAATATATTAGGAATGTGGCTGTGAGGATATTTTCCCACCGGTTAATTCATGTGTGACACTAGTGAGGGCTTTTAAATCGCTACCATTAGTGAAAGTAAAGTACGGACGTCCGCACGGACATTGATAATGGTTGCGCTCGCAGAGCACTCAAATGAATACCCGAAATTAAGAAATTAACTAAACGTTTGCTTTGTTCTGCTCGTCCTCGCCATGGACACGCACCATTATGAATGCCAGTGCACCCGCATACTTTTTAGTGTCACATTAGTGCAATATCGGGGGTCGAATGCTTGAATTGAGAGTTCAACTGTCACGGAAAACACAACAACAAAAGAGTACAATGACAGATTTGCTTAAATAGGCACTTTTCATTCAGCCAATCTCAAAAATTCAGTGTAAATTCAACATCTAGGCTAATTTCAAAACCGAATACATTGACTTAGCGTTTTAATTGATATATTTTATAAAATGTCTGTTGTATAAAATTACTGTAGGCTAGATGTAATCTGTATACTCATTGAACACTTGTTTGGTCCAACTGTTAAGAGGTAAGATAAAAGTTATTGTTCAGTATTGTAGTTTAACTGAAATATTTTAAATATCCTAAAAATAGAGTATAAATGTCCACAGTGGTCTGAGACTCCCATATCCTGCAGTATATATATAAAATATATATAATTATTATATAATGAAAGGGCCAAAGCCGGCGACACCAGAGTTAGGTATCGGCTTGGGCCCGTCATCGCTGCTCGCTCGAAGATATATTTATATTTGAACTGGCATTAACAACTATTTTATTTTCCTCTGCAGTTGTCCTTGATGTGGTCAAGGTGTCTGATTTTAATAGAGGAATTGCAATCTATGTGAGTAACTATTAAATACAACACTCACCTGAATAAGTAGTCTCTTAAAGAATAGAAATTAAGCTATAAAATTGAATGTCAATTTATGCACTCACCTCTTTACCCCACCTCCCACCGGCTAAATGAAAAGCAGTGCTGCAAGTCCATGCTGCTTCAGTATGCAGAAACCTTGAAGCAGTCCCTCATTCCAACGTCAGGGGTTTTCATAGGCTGAAGGAACAGAAGGCAAAAGTGTTGCATCACTCCTGGGTTAAACATATGCTAGTTTGTAATGTTATGTATTGATTAATAGCAGAGCATCCTGGCAATAAGACACAAAGTCAATCTTTTACTCATTCTTATCAGACGGAGCAAAAACATTTCACACATCAGATTGTTCCATGAAAAATAATGAAATTTGAAAAAAAGTTTCATTTGAACTAGTTAAATGATTTATAGATTGGACTGAGTACTGTAACGCAAGCCACATTTTAGCTCATTTCAATATTAATATAATTTTCAATTTGAAAAGAAAACAACAGAATCAAAGTTTTATAAGTGGCTCTTTGTTTCAGGGAATGCAGAGATGTGCAATGGCATGTAGTGTCTACAAATGTTACTCTCAGCATGCTGTTGTTCATGCTACTTCCAGGATTCATGGCATTATACTGTGAGAAATGTGTGAAATATGATTTACACACACATTTCTGCAGGGGGTGCTTTTTTCATAAAATTATTTTATCAGAAATGTTCTGCTTTTAAAATATAGGTCCCATGGAACCTCACATGGATCACATGGGGTTTTATCATTGAAACATGAAAATACGATCGAATATATTTTACGTTAAATTATAGTTTATATTTGTGGATGTGTACATTTTTTTTTTTAATGACAATTATTGTGTCTTGACCCCTAACAGGAAGCAGCAGAGAGAGAGAGAGTTTGTTGTGTCAATAACAAGGACCTGTCTAGGAAACCAGTTTATGTTGCAAACTGTAAGTTTCTGTCATTCATTTGTTCAAATACATATTCTGTAATTAAGAATAATGTTGTCCTATCCACTCTTGTTAATTTCAGTCATATAGTCTTTATCAAGTATTGCAGGTTGTATAGTGACAGATCCCGGTCCTCTTTAAATTGAATGAGTCATACTTTATGATTAAATATGTTATGAGTGAGTGACAAAGACAAACGTTCAAATATGGTTCTTGCCACATTGAAGCCTTATTATTTGTGATGTGTCTTAATAGTAGTTGGGCATTTTGAGTGTGGAAATCCAGTTTTACTAGTTTAGTGTCATTTCTAAAGTGTCAAAAAATCTTAAAATGTTTCATGACATGAATGTGCCAAAAGGCAAGAGGGATGTTGCTTTATCTACATTTCCTATGAAATTTTCTTGTGCTATCACACTAATATAAAAAGTATGTGAATAAGAGGAAGCCCACCACCATACAAAGACTGAGGATGAATATAATACTCACCCTTATTAAATGAGCGGATGAGTAGAATGGAGAATACATTTGCCATGCCTTCACTGCTGAATTTCCCGGTGCACAGTAGCTTAACTGAACGGGGCAAAGGATTGTGGGTAGAGATGTTACTTCACTTGCGTAGCCCTCAGCAACCAATCATAGACAGATGGTGAGAGAGGAAGAGAAAGGAGGAGGGGCTGTGGGCTGATCACCATAGAAACAGTGCCACCCATAGTCACTTCTTAGTATTACTGAATTTATACATAGCTGAAAGCATCTGAGTTGTGCACAAGAGCCACATGAGACATGACAGTCATTTTTTCTTTGTTATACAGTTGCACTGGAATTTGACTTTGTATTGATACATATATAAAATATATCTGATCATTAACCACAGACTTTAGGACTTCAAAATATATATACATTGAGCATATTTTAAATGTGAAGCGTGTTATTTTTTTGGATTGTTAATGCTTTCTCTTAATTGTCTTAGACAATTTTAATATTAACACGCCTTTTGAAGGTTGTTTTCCTGTAAAAGTGTAGCACTGCTAGCACTATATTCTATATATATATATATATATATATATATATATATATTCTGTATCTATATATATATAATTTTTTATTATTATTTTTTCCCACAGCATTAACAAAGCAAAGCATGAGCCCAAGTTAATTATCTTTTAAAAACAGGTCAGTATATGGCCATTTAAATTTGCTGACGTTCTGCCACTTTGTTAATGTTCATGAACAGTGGGACATTAGTAGGTTACTCATTGCTTTTAACACAATGTTTTTAACATGTGTACATGTCTGCACTTCAGTGAACTTTCATGACTGAAAATGTAAGGGTTTGCTATCAAATTTGTTCTTTTTGGCTGGCATTATCAAAATGTATTATTTATTTATTTTTATATGTAATGTTAAATATGTTTCAATGTAGCTGCTGCATGATGATGCATGTTATAACCAAAAGAGAGAGCTGTGTTGAAATGAGATTTAATTAGATTTCATTTCATTACATTCAGAGAACTGAATCCGATTTTCAGTCGGGAGTCTGGACTGTTCTAGTTTACCTATCGCCAGGCTTTAAAAGCCACTTATGTCATTAACCCTGACTTTCTCAAGCAGAGATTTGGCTCAGTACAGACAGTCTGTTCTGTCTCCAAGACACCAGCTGGTATGAGAATACTTAGCGGCAGACAGTCATAATAAGAACACTTTCCAGAGGGTATTAGCCTATTGAAGATAAATTGACAAGACCTCGGATGACCCAACATGTAATAATGCTTAAAGTTCATACATTTCTCATTTAGGCTATGCTTTTTTCTTTGAATCTTTTAAAATTGTTGCATTGACTGTATATTAACTGTGTTACTGCTCACCAAAACACATACCTGAAATTAACATTGAAAGATAGATCTTCTGATAGACCGCACTTTGAAAAACACATCTACATAAAATGTTTTAAATAGGCTACTTAGGAATGCAAATATCTTTGCAAAATATATTTTTTGTTGCAAATATAATTGTCATAGTCAGCACTAAAGCCTAGTACACTTTCAAAAAAAAGTGAATCTTTTTTAGTTTATCTTAAAAAAGCCTTAAACTTTTGAGTTCATTGAAATTACATTTTTAGAGTTAATACAATGATTGGTTTAATAAATAGAAACTTAATATATTATGTTTTCTGGACCACATCCATTGTCTAAGGTGATTTGACACAAGATAAAGTTGTGATAAATCATTAAAATATTTTTTTTTACAGTGTGGATAACTTGATCTTTTGGCTACACACTTGTCCAGTTTTATCCCAATTATCTCACTTCTGCAGACACTTTCCCATTTTAAAACAGGTCAGTATGTTTATTTGTGTTTATTAATGTTCATGAATGGTTTTGCATTACAGAAACTATGGTTAGTCATTGATTTAATCACAATGTTCTAAACCTGTATCTGTAATTTTTCCCATAATCTCTTATGTTTCCCAAACAGAAATATTTCTTGTCCTTTGTTATATGTTGATTCTGTTTATCTTGGCATTGGTTATCATGTGCTGGAATATAATGTCTCTTTCAATTTGAATGGTGCATTCAAACTGCTCCATTTTAATATATTTTAAATTTGGAGTAATCTGTAAAAAAAATCCTTGACCAGACCGACTTCACACCATGGCCACTCATGGTACTAAAGATGTCAGTGATATCCAAAGCAATACACAATCACCCACCCCTGTAAATTATATAAAAATGACTTAAATAAGTTTTGTTTAAAAAATATTTATTGTCACAGACACTTAAAACACAGTATTTGACTCCCTTGAAATAAGAAGTACATTGATTTGATGTCTCCCTGATACACATATGCATCTCTACAGCACTGAAATGGAATGACAGTGGATGCCTCTTCTTTTGCCAGCATGCTAAAGGAATCCATCTTTGCTTCCTCTAGCAAGCCCCTGTAAAATGAGAGATGAGAGAAATCAGACCTTTATCTGCATATTTAACTTGAATTTATCCGACTACTTTTGTTGTCTTGCAGCTAAATTGAGAGCCTGACTTCTGTCCGTGAACTTACCGGACTGCAGCACGGGCTGGAACTGACCAGCCATGCAGATCTCTTCCTGTTTCTGGCGGACGATGCGCTGGATTGCAGGAGGTAGGCCACGGGGGTTGCGTGAGAAGATCAGGGCATAGCCGTCATCACATGTGCCATCATCCTTCAGAGTGCGGCAAGCATAGGTGATAGCATAGTTGTCGTAGTCTGTGTCAATGACCCAGTAGTTGTCGCCTTTATTAAGAATAAACAATAGAAAATTAGTCAATTGATTCGTGTGACAGTAATGGGTAAACATGTGATAATATACACGTCTTCTGACCTCCACTAGACAGATAGCTAGCCAAGCCCTGATAGTTCATGAACATCTTGCCAGGAGTGGTAGGGTCAGGTACACTGTATTGGGCAGCCATGTCAGCACACACAACCCAGAATCTGTAAAGAGTTAGCAGGATTAGCATTAACGTGACATCACCACTAACATTTTTAACCTTGATTTCTAAATCAAACGAAAATACGCTTGCAGAATTAGCATTTTGTGATGCCATTGCTGTCATATGTTAGCATTAGCATGTGACATGATTTCTGTAATATATTTAAACTTGATTTCTGAATCAAACCAGAATTAGCATGTGACTTCATTGCTGCCATATGTATTAAACTTGGTTTATGAATCAGTCGTTGAATTGAACGCTTCATTACAATCATACTTTCAGATTTTCCACTAACCCGAAAAGAGTTACGCGGCCCTTTGAAGAGGCAGTCATGGTGCCATCGTCATCAATGGTGTATTCTGCAGAGATGTTGTCCTGGAGAAAGAGTCCCTCTGGGTCTTTCTTCTGCTGGGCGTACCATTTGCCTGCATACTATAAGGTACAGTAAAGCAGGTCAGGTCATCCTGTCTGTTTTGCATCAACATTATTTTAGAGCAAATGTTTCAGAGCAAATCTCCACTGAGATCATCAAATAGCATATTACATACTCTCTTGGGGTCAAAGTCTTCCTTGACCATAAAACTGTCCACAACGCAGGAGACAGACCAGCAGCGCTCAATGTAGGACAGGAAAACCACCAGCAGGGCAAACTTATAGTATTCCATTCTGAGTAGTGGAGAAGGAAAGCACCGGTGAAGCAGTCTGATGCAAAGCATCAGCTCAGTAGCTATTTCTAACAGTCTTTTTCATAACAGTTTAAACTGCAGGTTAGTTAACCCAGAGGGGCTACATAAAAACTCTAGATCTTACCTTTTTGTTGTATGTGAATGAAAGGAAGGTTTCTGTGGTGTAGGATCTCTCTGTGGTTCTCCACAAGGCTGTTTTGTCTACACTGAGCAAGAGCCCTTTTATACCAACTCTACAGACAGGCTTATTGATTATTTTCACTTCTTGTGACTAAATAAGGTTCTTAAATCTACGGTTAATCCGGTTGTAGAAATCCTCACTGTAATCTGGCTTCTCGGTTGAACCCTCCCATGCTTGCCATAAAAACAAAAAAAAGCTTTATGCAACTAAGTGGAATATAGGGAGACTTTGTCTAAATAAATAAATCAAAAACACCTGGGAATAGGGGTCAGTGAAGCTGAAAGAAACTTTATGTAATGTTATTAGGTTCCCCGTAAATGAAAAACAGATTTAAGGTTTTCTTGATGATAGACTCTTGTATGTATGTATATATATATATTAGGGTTGTCAAGCGATTAATCGCGATTAATCACATCCAAAATAAAAGTTTGTGTTTACATAATATATGTGGGTACACTGTGTATAATTATTTTATATTTATAAATACACACACATGCATGTATATATGTAAGAAAAATTTTCATGTATATACTGTATATAGATTTATATATAATTTATATTATATATAAATATTTTATATATAAATAATATTTTTTTCTTAAATATATACATGCATGTGTGTGTATTTATATATACAGTATACAAAATAATTCTACACAGTGCACCCACATATATTATGTAAACACAAACTTTTATTCTGGATGCCATTAATCGGGATTAAACGTTTGACAGCCCTAATATATATAAAATACTAGATAGTTATGGTCCATATAATCTCTTAACAGATTATTAAGTGAAGCTGGAAAGTTGCAGATCAAGGATGTAAATCTAAGTCCTGTGTGTTGATATTTGTAATGTTAAATATCAACTATAAGAGAAACAATTCAAGATGTACAGGAAGACAAAACATAATTTAGTCATTTATTTGTAACTCCACTCCAGTAAAATTCTGCAGATGTGTTTCCAAAAATGAACGAGCTTTAGCTAATGCAAGATGTTCTAAATGTCTAATAACCAGAAAAAACAAGGCTTGACAAATTGTTGTGATGGAATGGTTGTGATTGTTGAGTTAGAATGTTATCTTGATGACAATAAGCTTCTAGTGGCTTTGTGCCAATTTGATGAGATGGTCTTGACTACGGAAGCAGCTTTATTCATTATGAGAATCCATTATGTAATGAGTGTTTATTTTTAATAGTGTAGTATTGGCGTGCTACAAAAAGCAGGTAGGAATTATGCAAACAAAAACTAGATTATAAAATATTTTTTTACTTTAGTATGACTATGATGTCATTGAATTAAATTAAAATTGTATCCATTACCTATTTTGTTCATTAAGATGCGGTACAGGTTCCTAGTCTCCCTCATCATTCAACTCTATTATAAAATTGTTTAAAGATTTGATGTGTAGGCCTATATACATTTTAATAGTAATCAATTTGCAAGTTCGGTGAAAAGATCGATTTATTTAAAAAGTAAACGTATAGTACAAAAAATAAAAATAGCATTGAATGATTTGCTGTTATTGTGGCCACTTAACTTTGTTTGGAAATGTATTTCAGAAATTACTGTTAACAGTAGAGGGGCCAGATTTCCTAACTTGCTTCCTCCATCTCAAACCATCTTGGTGTTAAGAAACTAGAGTCAACTACAGTTAGGAGTTTCCCTTTCAGACTTTCAGTGTCCATTTGCACCTATATCATGCAAGATGATTTACTTCGGTTTGATTTACTTGTGCTAATTTTCCCTGTTTAGTAAATCTGGCCCTAGGTCTGTGTTTTTAAGGTACTTACCCACACATTTGATTTTGAAGAATATATTTTTTTATAAAATATGATCGCTGAACATTTGTCTATATTGAAAATAATAGTAGATTGTCCTCAGAAGTTTTTTGGACTACTTCCCATGCATATCTGTGGCCAACATCTGCTGAATTAGCAGTATTAGGATTGGTTGGCCATGGGCCACACTACAGCACTGAGATCTCTTGGCTCAGATGCTACTGTGACCTCAAGAAACTGCTCTCAGGTGGTGAACGTGATTTCACCACGTGCAACATGTTCCTGGATCAACAATTTAGGGATAACTTATGGGTAGGGTTAGGTAGGTTTAGGGGGTAGGGATAAGGGCTACATTTTCAGACAGGAATGTTGTTTACGGATCAACAAAATATGTTGATCTTGGAACATGTCTTGCTTGGCAAAATCACGGTGACCGCTCTCAGGTGGCGTGATCTCGGCAATATACTGTAATATGTATCCATACAGTCGCCAGTATGCTTGACGGGTTCCTTTACATAATGCATAATTAGATCCTGTCTTAAAGGGATACTCCACTTTTTTTGGAAATAGGCTCATTTTACAAATCCCCCAGAGTTAAACAGTCGAGTTTTACCGTGTTCAAATCCATTCAGCCAATTGTCTGATATTTAGAAGAAAATCAGTAACCTGACAGTTTCTGGTCTCATTGACTTCCATAGTAGGAAAAATATATACAATGGAAGTCAATGAGACCAGAAACTGTCTGTTTACTGATATTCCTGTAAATATCAGAAAATCGGCTGAATACATCTGAAAACGGTAAAACTCAACTGTTTAACTCTGGGGGAGTCGTAAAATTAGTCTATTTCCAAAAAAAGTGGAGTATCCCTTTAAGTAACTCAACAGTGGCAGTGTTACTGTAATTTGAATCCTAATCCATTTATTTATGCTAAAGATGAGAGATGGCTTACCTGGCTAACCTCTCCTGGCACACCAGACAGTGGTATCTATTTGTAGGTGTGCTCCAGAGATTAGAACACTTCTTTTTAAAGACTTTTATTTCTTTTTTTGGCCACTGCTTCTCAAGCCGTCTGCTATATATACTATGTAAACAGATGGCAAGGAAGACTATGGATATTTTTTATTGTTTGTCACTGGATGTTGTTATTCTTGTGCAGTGGAGCACATTTACCTTTAAACAGGTGTAAGAACTATATGGGTGAACTATGGGGGAAAGGATACTCCACCCAAAAATAAAAATTCTGCTGTCATTTACTCATTTTGAAGACTGTATGATTTATTTTCTTCTGTGGGATGGAAAATAAGATATTTTTGAGATCAACTTGTCATACAATGGAAGTCAGTGGGCTCTGATGTTATTTGGTTATATTCTGTCCTTAAAATATCCTTTGTGTTCTGCAGAAGAAAGAAAGTCAAACAGGTTTGGAATGACGTGAGGATGATGTAAATAATAGCAACATTTTAAATTGGGTTGGGGTTGAGTATCCCTTTAAGTTTTAACAGGTCACAAAGTGTAAAATATCGTTTGCACTTGCTATTTAACAAATACCTCTAATTAAACTAAACATTTCACATTAAATTCTTTCTCCGTGGATACCCTCAATTACTGCTAACTGTTTCCTTCAGCTTTAGCACACACAGAAATGTATCTATAGCCCTTTTGTTTTGTTTGTTGTCTAAGTGAACCTCAACCCATAAGCCCTGATCCTAATCCCACACATCCCCCATGTTCTCATGGTTTGCTCCTAGCCAATCAATGAAACTATTCAAACAAAGGCACTCCTTAGTGTAAATTTGTACACTAGTGCTGACAATGCACATGTTCAAATTGGCTGAAGCACTAGATTAGAATAGTTTTCTGGAATCAGATTCGTTGTATCATTCTCCAGTTTAGAGAACTGGAAGTTTTTTTTTAAGGTCTGTGTTAGCTACAGGTTAACAACTATGTGTGGCTAGCTAGCACTTTCTGACTTGTCATATTTATCATTTTTTGTTTTTTTTTTCTTCAAGTTTTAGTGACCCAGACAGCCCACCCCCTCCCATGCAGTCTGTGTCTTTCCAAGGACCACATTTGAGAAAAAAA